CTGCTTTCATTTGTTTTGGGTATAACCCAGAAGTGGATTGCTGAATCATAAAGTGATTCTATTTTTAATTTTTTGAGAAACTGCCATGTTGTTTTCCATAATGGCTATACCATTTTGTGCTTCCAACAGTGTACAGGGATCTAGTTTCTCCGCATCCTCTGTCATTTTCTGTATTTATTTATTTATTTGTTTATTTATTTATTGATTGATTGATTGTTTTTGCAGTAGCCATTCCAATAGTTGGGGGTAACATTCATAATAGTTTTGATTTGCATTTCCCTAATTATTAGTGATATTGGGCATCTTTTCATATGCTTGTCCATTTGTATATCTTCTTTGGAGAAATGTCTGTTCAAGTCCTTTGCCCATTTTTAATTAGGTTGTGTTTTTATTATTGTTGAGTTGCTTATAAATTTTTAAAGGTTATTTTCAAACATACACAAAAAAATAGAGTATATTTTGCTGGTCTTTTTTCACTTCCCTGCCCCACACACCTCGAAGTTTTTTGCCCCTCATTTTAAAGTAAATCCTAGGGCTGGGAATGTAGCTAACTGGTAGAGTACTTTTGTAGCACACAGGGCATCCTGGGTTTGATCCCTAGCACCTGAAAAAGAAACAACAAGAACAACAATAACAACAACAACAACAACAACAACAACAACAAAAAAAACCCTAAAGTAAATCCCAGACATCAGGTCTTCTACTTGTGAAAACTTCAGAATGTTTTTCTAACAGAAGACTTTTATTTTGTATTTATTTGTTTATTGCAGTGCTGGGAGTGGAAAGCAGGGATGTTAAGTGAGTATGTCCCACTGACCTACATCACCAGCCCCTTTTAAAATAAAAAAATATATATATTGGAGGGTGGCGGTACCAGGATTGAATTCAGGGGCACTTGACCACTGAGCCACATCTCTAGCCCTATTTTGTATTTTATTTAGAGACAGGGTCTCACTGAGTTGCTTAGCACCTCATTTTTGCTGAGGCTGGCTTTGAACTTGTGATCCTCCTGTCTCAGCCTCCCAAGCCACTGGGATTATAGGCATTTGCCAACAAGCCTGGCTAAAATTTTTAAATTTTGAGACAGGGCCTTACTAAGTTGCTGAGGCTCCTACCTCAGCCTCCTCAGAGGCTATGATCTCAGAGTAGCTGTGGTCACAGGTGTGTACCACCAAGCCTGGCCAGAATCCTGTTTTAGAAGGATACATTATCACATCTAGCAAAATAAATTTCTTACAATTACCTAATACCCAATTTCTGTTTTATTTTCTCCAGTTGTCTTGAAATGGCTTTTTATTGAATGTTTTTTTTTTTTTTTTTTTGAACAAGGTCCACATCCTGCATTTGGGTGGTGTTTTTTAAATCTCTCAACCTGTAACCCCCACTCACATGCCATATGGTTGGGGAAGAAGCATTTTCACTTGATGGCAGGATCTCTCTTACTCTAGATGTTTGCTTTTATAGACCACTCCTTTAGGTTCATGTGAAGTAACCTGAGGGTAGGGAGTAGAGGTGGGCAGGAAACCAGGAAGAAGGCTGCTCCCAGGAGAACTGGGAGATTCCGTGAAGGAGAGAGAGGGAGTTGCTGGATGTGGAGCCCACATATGGGAAGCGAGTGAGGTAGAGAAAGCGTGGATGGACTACAGAGACTCAGAACCCAGGGATCTCAGGTATAGATAGGTACCCTCAGAGTGGGGTGGGTGGGGACCTGTAGCGCTGACCCTGCTATCCCACCGCTCTGCAGGTTCCCGCTTAAGGACGGCCCCAGGCTCCAGGCCTGGTTGCGATGCATGGGCCGGGAGCACTGGGTGCCCAGCTGCCACCAGCACTTGTGCAGTGAGCACTTCACACCTTCCTGCTTCCAGTGGCGCTGGGGCGTGCGCTACCTGCGGCCAGACGCGGTGCCCTCCATCTTCTCCCGGGTGCCGCCAGCCAAGGTGAGCGCGGGATGTCCAATGAGTGGAGTCTGATCCCCAGCCTTCCCTACCTGAGACACAATTCCTAGAGTCTGGTTCCTGGCCTTCCCTTTCTAAGCGAAGTCCTTCCCCAGGTCTGCCCCTCTGCCCTTCCCTCCTTAGGAAGTTCCTGGCTGAAGTCATCTTACCCAGGGAAGTCCCCCTTGGAGACTGACCTAACCTCTCCAGGAAATGCCTCTTGGAGTCTGGCCCTGAAGGGCCATCCCCACCCTATGCCTTGTCTTCCAGAGCCCGCGGAGGACCCGAAGTACCCAGAAGCCAGTCACGCCTCCTCCTCCTCCTCCCCCGCCACAGGAGGCAGGACTCCCCCGGGAGTCCACGGTTGCAGCCTCTGGCCCAGTGCACGTAGTGGTGCTGGGGCCTGCATCTGACGGCGCCAAGGCTGCGTCCACCGTGCTCCTGACCCCCCTGCCCCTTCCCTCCGCTCCTGCAGGGCGGAGGACTGGAGTTTCTGCCCAGCACCCACGGGCGGGACTGGGAGCGGTGCTGGGAGCACTGCAGCGGCGGGTGCGGAGGCTGCAGCGGCGCCACCAACGGCACCAGGCTCAGCTCCAGGCTCTGGAACAGCTGGCGCTGCAGCTGCGCACGGAGAGCCTGCAGGCTCGGGCGCACCAGGGCCAGCTTCGCGTGGTGAGTGGCGCAGGGGCTTGGGACTGGCGTCCAGGGCGTCTTGCCTGGCCTGCACAGTGTCCTCATTTATGTTTAAAAATCCCAATGTTTCATTCAGGTTTCCAAATTGCTGGTTGGGCAGGGGAAGAATCTGGGGCTGGGGATGAGGCTCAGTGTTTACAGCACTTGCCTAGCATGCGGGAAGCCCTGGGTTCCATCCCCAGCTCAGCAAAAAAGAAAAATAAATGTCAATCTGGCAACTATTGGTTGGAGCTGAGTAATGGCTGCTCCATTTATGAATAATATTTAGGAAGTTCTCACTTCCTGCCAGACACATACTTAATAACTTATTGAAAATTCACTACCATCTTGGTACTCTTGTTGTTCCCATTTGCCAGATGAAAAAGCTGCAGCATAGAACAGTCTAGTAACTTGCCCAAAGTCAGGCAGCCAGGACTCAAAATCAGATGTCTAGCACCGGAAGAAGCCCGGCTGTCCTGTTGGAAAGCTCCCTTCTCAGCCCCTTAAATTCACAACCCTTTTACTATGGTCTCCCACACTCTCTCTAAAGCTCTTTATCCATACATTTTACTACTGGGTTGTTTTTTGTTTTGGTTGAGGGAAGAGTGAAAAATCAAAGCTTGACCATGTCAGTCCCCTGCTTAAAAACTAGGGCTTAGCTTGAGGGCCTCAACCTATCACCCACCCACTCAGAATCCTACCTGGATGGGACAAGCATCCAGGCAGAGCTGTGGAGACAAGAGGAGGGGGGCTCAGAGAGGAGCTGAAGTGTCTCAGGTAGACAGCTAATGGGTTGGACATGACCTCCAGATATAATTTGTTTGGCCTCAACAGTGCTTTAAAATCACTTTTAATCTTTCCTGAAGGCTCAGTAGATCTTGCAGCGCAGGGTTCATATTCTCAGGTAACAGCAGCCAGCTAGAATTGCAGTGTGACTGCCCCTGGGGGCTTTGAGGCTATGGCCTGGAACCCAGAGGGACAGTGGGGCTGGGTCACAATTCAGTCTCAGGCTGGAGCTCTCCATGGAGCCTGCCCTGGGCTGACTCTCTCTCTCTGCCTCCCCTGTCCCCATTCAATCCCTGTTTCCTACTCATTCATCCTGTGTCCCTGTCTGCCCATGTCTCTCTGCATCTGCCTTTGCCCCCCATATCAATGTCCTTGTCGACACATCCATCTCCCCATGTCCCTGTCCTTCCACATCTCTCTCCTATTTCCCCACACTTCTTTTCTCTCCCATGAATGTCTCTGGCTTCACATCTGCTTCCCTGTCTTCCATCACATTTCACTCTGTTTCCTGACACCCCTCCTTCTCTGATGTCCGTTGGTCCTCACCATTTCTGTCTGTCCCTCAATCTCCTCACCCCTTGCTCCCCTTTGTTCCCCATCTCTACTGCTTCTTTGCCTGGAATGGCTCAGCTGCCTGGATCTGAGGAATCCCAAACCTTCACCATCATCTGTGGAGGGCCTGACATAGCTGTGGTCCTTGCCCAAGACCCTGCACCTGCCACACTGGATGCCAAGCCTGAGCTGGACACCCAGTCACCCAGTGCCTAAGGGTCAGGACGGACAATGTCAAGGGACAGAAGATGCAAGATGGAAGAAGAGAGCCCATCACACATGTGCTTGGCCCAGCCCTATCACCCATGCCTGGGGAGGAGCAGTGCTTTCCCCAAGTACCTAGATTCTTCTCCCCACTTCTAGGGATCCCTTGAATCTTGCGGGTGACTGGGCCCCAAACCCTTATCCCCCTGGGTTCCCAGCCCCTGCCACCCCCAGCTCAAATCTCTGCAGTCAGTAAAACAACATCAGCAGAAAAGGGGTCATTTGGGGAGTTCTGTACCTGGTTCCAAAGAGCCCTTGGCACCTTGTGTCAAGCCTGCTGGTGAGTTGGGGACATGGCAGTGAACACAGCTAAAAACCATCCCTGCCCTCATGGTGCTCACATTTTGCTTGAGTTGAAGGTGAACTAGTGTACCAATAAACTGGATCACTTCTGACTGATATGTGCCATTAAAAACTGAATTAAAATATGATTGAGGGGCTGGGGCTATAGCTCAGTGGCAGAGTGCTTGCCTAGCAAGTGTGAGGCACTGGGTTTGATCCTCAGCACCACATAAAAATAAATAAAGGCATTCTATCCATCTACAACTACAAAAAAAATTTTAAAAAATATGATTGAGAGGAAGTTGGGGGGAGAGGGCTCTCTAAGAAGTTGTCATCTGAACACAAACCTGGGTGGGAGGAGTCAACCTGTAGGGCATGTGGGCAGGTGTTCCAGGGCAAGAACAGATCTGCAGAGGACCTAATTTCTAGGGCATTGGAGGGAGGAGGGCATTGTTGCTCTGAAGAAAACTAAAGTGGGGAAGGGGCTGGCTGGGACAGGGTGCAATTTTAGATAGAGCAGAGGTGTCACTGAAAAGGCAAACAATTAATATCCCAAATGAGAGGAGAGAAGGAACCATGCAAGGGCCTGGGGGAAGCCTTCCAGCTAGAACAGCCAATGCAAAGGTCCTGGGGTGCAGAAAAGCAAGGAGGCCAGTATGATCTGAGTGGAGTGGGCAGAGTGAGAGGAGGAGAGATTGGAAACATGGTGGGCAAGTGTACCTAGGGCCTTATGGGCTGTGGCTGGGAATACTGGCTTTTACCTGGAGTGAGGTGCAGCCAGATGCTTCTGAGTCAAGGAGTACCCTTATGTGATACATGTTAGGTTCCTGTGACTGCAGGGTAGGAAGAAAGGTCAGGTGGGGTGGGGAGAGCAGTGAGAACAGAGAAGACACTGCTGCCATTGTTGAGGTGGGAGAAGATGAAGGATGGACCAGGATAGGGGCCTGGAGTTGGGTGATAAAATTCTGGAAGTATTTTGGTGATGGAGATACTGGGCCTACCCAGTATGAGGGGCACAAGGCACGTTCAGGCTGGGGTGATTTGGGGCAGAGCAGGTAACAAACCAGGAATGAGGTTGAGCCAGGACCCTGGCTGGCTCCAAGAGGCTTTACTCCAAGAGATACATGTTCTCAGAAGAGATCCATTGACAGATCTGTCTTCTAGACACTGCTATCATCACATGGCCTTCACTGCACAGTCATGTAGCTTGGTGATTAAGAACCAGACTCGACGAACTGCCTGCTTTCAAATTTTAGCTCCACCACCCACTTGCTGTGTACTGATGGGTAAGCAACTCGAACTCTCGGCCTGAGGAAGTGCTGATGAGCACTGTCTATAAGGACAAAGGTGATGGAGATGTAAAAGCACCCCTCTGAGACGTTCATAGAGGGTAAGCATGGCGTTGAGCTCCGAGAGAGGGAACAACATCAGCAAGGCACAGAGACCACTGTCCCAACTGGCCGGGTTCGCAGACCTGGAGAGGGCTCTGTCACCGCGAGGATGGATAAAAAGGCGACACGGGTGTCGCCTTGCCGCCCCTCTCCCCCCGCCGGTCTCTGCTTCATCTCTCTCCTGCCTCGGTGCCTCACACCCTTCCAGGTGGCAGTCCCTTCTTCCTCTTCGGGTGCTCGGGGTCTAGCCCCTTGGCGTCGCTGCCTCCAGAGCCTTCATCTGAGCTAGCTGCCTCTCAGCATCTCCTCCCCCGCGCCTTGCCACTGCGCATGCGCCGCCAGCGCCCCTCCCTCTCCACCCCCACCCCCGATCGGCTGCTGGGCCTCGTCCCCTTCTCTCTGTCTCCCTCTCTTCCCCTACCACGTCCCCCGACACCGACACCCCAGTACTCCGCGGTCTCCTCAGTCTCAGCCTCGGTCTTCAACCCCGTCCGCCCGAGGTAAGATGGGAAGCGCGGAGGCCCGTGAGAAGGGGAGGGGCGAAGCATCCTGCATCCCGAGATAAACAAACCCCGAGAGGGGGCGGCCGAGACTGAGGGGCCTGACGCGGGAGAAGAATGGGGGGCTGGGCCTGGTGGAGGAGGCAGGAGCTGGGCGCATATCCCGGGGCTCTCTGATGGGTAACGAGGTCCTATGGTTCTCCAAGATCCAGAGCTGGGGGCACGGGGACCACCCGGGGCCTTGGGAGTTTCTGGGGGCTTGGACCCAGAGCCTCTGGGGCACCCTCTCCAGCTGACCTCTGCCTCCAGGATTTGCCTGCAGGCCGCCCCTGACTCTTGCGCCCGCCCACCACTGAGGGCCATCGAGGACCATGACTAAGACAGATCCTGCCCCCATGGCCCCTCCACCCCGAGGAGAGGAGGAAGAAGAGGAGGAAGAAGATGAGCCCGTCCCTGAAGCCCCCAGCCCCACCCAGGAGCGCCGGCAGAAGCCTGTTGTGCATCCATCGGCACCTGCACCCCTCCCCAAGGACTACGGTAACTGCTATCCCCACCCTGGAATCTGGCATGGAGACTTGGGTGGTCTGGGAGAATGGCTGAACTCTGCTGGTGGTGATGGTGGGGGGGATTCTGAGGCGGTCCAGAGTCTTGGACCTCTCTCCCTTCGTTTATTCACCATTGGAGTATGGAGTTGGAATGATCCTAATATTTGGTTCATGACAAATAATTCTATCATGTAGTCATTCGACAAACAAATCTTGGAAGAGCCACTACTGATCTGGCTCTGTGCTAGTAGTTGGGGCCACAGCACAGAATAAGACAAGCAGTCTTTGAGAGAAATCAATGACAACCACACAAATAAGTATTAAAAATATAAATATATGATTACAAAGCATGATAATTGTGTTTGCCAAGAACAGAATGCTGCAGGATATTTTAAAAATGTTGTCCCTTGGATTAACTAAAAGGTCAGGAAAAGAGGGTCCATGGAGAGATAACTTCAAGAGTAAAGGATCTGAGCTAGGAGAGTGTGAGGTAGGATCTGGGGGTGTCCTGTTGGAGAAACTGAAGGTATCTGTCATTTATTTATTGCTTGCTATTATCCTGTAATGAGCTCTATACTGGGTAATGGGATGTTGATGAAGAACAATCAAGGCATGGCCCCTGTTCTTAGGAGAGACTAAACAAGTGAACAGATAAATCAGATGAGTTCAGATCAGAGTGAATGCTATAAAAGAAATAAAAGGTAAAGTTATAATAGATAAGGGCCAGGGGACCTCTTGCTTGAAACCAAGTAGTCAGGGTGGGTCTTTCTGATTAGGTGACATTTAGGCTGACACCCAAAGCATAGGAGAGCTGGAGAGAGTTCCAGGCAGAGACTAGCAAGTGCAAAGGCCCTGAGGCAGAACTGAGCTTGGAACAGAAAGATCATAGAGCTGCATTTGGAGAGTGATCAGAATTGAGGTGAGAGGGCATGGGCAAGATCTGGAAGGGCCTTGAAGGACTTTGGATATATTCTAAGTATGACAGGCACACACACAAACAGCTGTGTGCGTGTGTGTATCTTTGCACACACATGTGTGTGCTCAGTGTGTCTAAAAGCAAAGAAGTGGCAGGTTTGATTTATAATTTTAAAAGCTCCCTCTGGCTTCTGGGTAGAGAGGTGGAGTGCAGCCAGTGTTGGATATAGGAGAGAGGTTTTAGAAGATGCTGACTGGGAATCCTTAGCAGCTGTGAGGCTCAGCAACTAGGCACTTGGTTCAGAGAGTTGGCATCACCAGGATAGAGCAGGAGAGATGGCATCTATGGATGTATCACCCACTATTGGTGGATTGGAGAGACAAGTTCATTTTAGTCTGGCAGAAAAATAGGAAAGTTTTCTGAGGGCGTGAGTTGTGGGGAAAAACTGGAAAATCTCCTTTGGAAACACAACTGTATGTGGCTTGAGCCTGTGGTCCAGTGGGCAGTCAGAATGTCTAAGATGGGCCCTCCAAGGAATCCTGTTTGTAGAGCAAGGGAGGGTTTGGTCACAAAATGTGAAGGAATCTGGAAATATGGTCCAAGCCAGAGAGAAAGCTAAGGTGAACTCCTTAGAAAACTATATATCTGTTTGTTCAATTTGTACATTAATCCAGCAGAGATCTGCTGAGTAGCCACTGCATGCTGGCTGCTACGCCCAGCTGTGGGGATAAGGGAGTGGCAAGCAAAACAGAAATTGTGCTTCTATCCAAGTGAGGGCAACAAGTAAGAAAGGAAGAGAAAGGAAAAAAGAGAGAAGAGAGGAGGAGAAAGAGGGAGAAGAGAGGAAGGAGTAAACATATTATGTTCAGTAGCAATATGTGCTATGATAAGAAGATTAAAATAGGAGCTGGAGAAGGGCAGAGGTGCTGATTTAGATGGGGCACTCTGGGGCGGGGTGGGGGGACTCAGGAGATCTGAAGGAAGACTGTCCAGGTGGGAAAATAGCAAGTGCAAGGAGACAGGAATTTTCCTGGCACATCGGAGGGACAGAAGGCAGCCAATGTGGCTGGAGGGGAATGAGGGAGAAGGAGAGGGCAGAGAAAGAGGTGGCCAGATTGCTCAGGGCCTTGTGCCAGCGGGAGGACTTTGGTCTGTACTCTGAGTAGGATGGGAGCCAGGGGAGGAGGGTTCTGAGCCAGGGAGGGCTGCAGTGTGAATGGGGTTTGAAAAGGAGCACACAGGCTGATTCCTGAGTCACCTTCTATGTAGCCTGTCCCGGGGCTGTGTATGATCTGATCCTTCACTTACTCATTCATTCAGCTCACATATCTGCCACTGCAAGGCCCCTGCTGGGTGCTGAGGTTACCCCCAGAGAACAACGCTCATCAGAATCTAATGCAGGGAACTAGATGTCCCTCTGACCACCATGCTGGCTGGCCACAGATTGGATCCTGCTCATTCTTAGAGACATTTTATATGTTCTACACAATATTTGAAAAATTTGAGAATTTTCTTTAAAAACTAGACTTTGGGCTTTCTGCAATAAATTTTTTAAAATTCTGGCAGGGCTGGAGTCTTGGCTCAGTGGTAGAACACTCACCTAGCGTGTATGAGGCACTGGATTCGATTCTCAGCATCACATATAAATAAACAAATAAAGGTCCACTGACAACTAAAAAAATTAAAAATAAAATAAAATTCTGGCAAGTTGTCCACACTGTGACCATAGTCTGACAGCATAACAGGGTCCTCAAGTGGTAGCAGCATCCTTGGGCTTGCAGACCAGAAGGTACTGCACTAGAGTTTGCTACCCTATGAAAACTGCCTGATTTTTCAATTTTTCAAGACACTGTGCATCCAGATTTTTGTATGAAACCTTCAGATTTTGGAACCTCATGCTGGCCACACAGAAAACGCCTGTGGGTTGACCGTGGCTAGTTAGAGGCTTTTAAAGGCAAAGACTTGAGCTCCCCTGCCTGGGGTGGGGGGAACAGGGGAGAGAGGGTCCAGCTTGCCTACAGTGACCTTGGACCTCTCTCCACCCTAGCCTTCACCTTCTTCGATCCCAATGACCCTGCATGCCAGGAGATTCTGTTTGACCCTCAGACCACCATCCCAGAGTTGTTCGCCATCGTGCGTCAGTGGGTGCCCCAAGTCCAGCACAAGATAGATGTCATCGGCAATGAGGTAGGAACAGAGGGGAAGTTAGGAGGGAGGGGATGTGCCCCTCACATGTTTGGGTAACCCTCCCATTCCCTGCTACTCCCAGATTCTACGTCGAGGCTGCCACGTGAATGATCGTGATGGGCTGACCGACATGACGCTGCTCCATTACGCATGCAAGGCTGGGGCCCATGGAGTCGGTGAGGGCCCAAACCCCCAAGCCCTGAGCCCAAAAGCCTAAGCTTCTAGCCCCGATACCCGCAAAACCTCCCAGAATTCAGGCCCTAATATCACGAAGTGTAGACCATGAGGCCCCAGGCTCTCCCCACGCGCTAGGTGCATGCTCTACTGGAGGACTTCCAAGCTGACCCTTGCTGTCGTGCAGGGGACCCTGCGGCGGCCGTGCGTCTCTCCCAGCAGCTGCTGGCGCTGGGCGCCGATGTTACCCTGCGCAGTCGCTGGACCAATATGAACGCTCTTCACTACGCTGCCTATTTTGACGTGCCCGACCTGGTACGGGTGCTGCTGAAGGGCGCGCGGCCACGCGGTAAGGAGGGGGGGCCTGGCTGAGAGGAGAAGGGGGAAGGGCGCCTCGAGGACCTGGTTTAGAGAGGTAGAGACCTGGGGTGAGAGGGACCTGGAGTGACGGGGCAGAACTGAGGCCTGGCTGGGAAGGGGAGAGGACTAGGATCCAGGAGGTAGCCCGAAGCAGGAGGTGGAAGCCGGCAGGGCGCTGTCAGTGGGCCCCACCCTCAGGGATGGGAGGGGCGGGGCATAGAAGAGAGGGGCGGGGCTCTCGCAGAGGCAGAGGCTGGGAGGCCTGGGGAGGGATAAGAGAGAAACCCAGAGGTAAGAGGAGGGCTGGGTTCCCACCACGTTCACCCAGAACCCTCCTCTCGCCCACTTCCCAGTAGTGAACTCCACGTGCAGTGACTTCAACCACGGCTCAGCCCTGCACATCGCTGCCTCCAACCTGTGCCTGGGCGCGGCCAAATGTTTGCTGGAGCATGGCGCCAACCCAGCGCTGAGGGTACTGCCACTCTGGCCCAGCCCTGTTATCCTCTTCCCCGCTCCCTCCATCCACTGCCCTCCAATAGGCCACTGCAGAGGACGAGGACCACTTGTATTTCTCCTAAAATGTTATAAAAACGATCTGCACATTCAACAAATGAAATGATAGCTGATTTTAGAGTTCATTATACATCAGGTGAAGTGTCACAAGCCCTGTTTTACAACCAGGAGACTGAGGCAGAGAGATTCAAGGATTTTCCCAGGGGCACTCAGCAAGGATATCTTTTCTTTCAATCCTGGCTGACCCTGTGGCTTTGTACAGACAGCAGTTGAAATCATGAGGAAAGTGGAGTTAGGCCTTCAGTGAATGAGAGGCTTGGGCCCCTTATAAGCCCTCAATATGATCTTTGATCCCTTTCTGTTATCAGGTCCCAATATCCCTGGCATCCTGGGGGTTCATCACAGGGCCTGTGCTCCTGTTCTCTCCTCATTCCCTATTGGCTCAGTTTGATATCTGAGCCTATAGCATAGGAGCCTGTTCTCAGTATTCATACCCACCCACCTCCCAAGGCCCCATTACAGGCTTAAGGTCCCCAAAGCATAAGCTCCCCAAGGGCATGACCTGCAGTACCATCCTTATTCCCTGTAGGCTCCATCCCTAATGCTACATTGCATTACTTGACACATCCCCAGCTCAGGACCACAGGGGTGGACTCACCGGGGATCTGCATCCAAATGCCCCACCCCTTCTTATTCCCATGCTGGCCCAGGGCATGATGTAGTCCTGTCCCAGCTTCACTCAGGCTGGTAGCCTTCATGGGAGTGTAGCCTGTACCCCTGAGCTCCTGTCTCCTCTCTTCCTATTGGCCCACAGAATCGGAAGGGGCAGGTGCCAGCTGAGGTGGTCCCAGACCCTATGGACATGTCCCTGGACAAGGCAGAGGCTGCGCTGGTGGCCAAAGAGCTGCGAACGCTGCTGGAAGAGGCTGTACCACTATCATGTGCCCTTCCCAAGGTGACATTACCCAACTATGACAACGTCCCAGGCAATCTCATGCTCAGCGCATTGGGCCTGCGTCTAGGAGACCGTGTTCTGCTGGATGGTCAGAAGGTCAGAGATGAGTGTTGGAGGGGGCGGTTCCCTCATCCCTCAGAGCTGGGTGTTTGGTTGCAAACAGACTGTCCTCTTTGTCTGTCCGCCTTTCAGTCATTCACACAGTTCTTTATTCCATCTAACAATTGTTCTGTCAATGCTTCCTCTGTGCCTTCCTCTGTGTTGAGCTGTTGGCTTAGAGGGAGAAATAGACCCATCCCCAAATGAGGACAGCACAGAGCAGTCATGATTGAAATGAGCAGAGTGATCAGCATAGCTCTATGTATCTGTGGCTCCTAGAGTTTTAAGGTCCCTTCTCAGCTCCCATCTCCACTCTTAAGAGTGGACAGGACTTTGACTAGGACAGTATAAGCCAGAGTGCTCAGGGAAGTGTTGGGGTATGCACCCAACTTGAAGATGAAGAGAAGGGGAGGAGAAAGGGTTTCATTTAGAGGGAGTCGAGAATCTTGATTCATCTGGGCATTCCAATTTTCATTCTTTTTTTTTTTACTATTTATTTTTTAGTTTTAGGTGGACACAATATCTTTATTTTATATTTATGTGGTGCTGAGGATCAAACCCAGTGCCTCGTGCATGCTAGGCGAGCGTTCTACCACTGAACCACAACACCAGCCCCCCAACTTTCATTCTTTTGGCTAGTGTCCTTCAGGCTCCGTGCTGAGCCCAGTGTGTCCTTAAGGATAGAGGGCTGCATTTGCTCCAGCTCTGCTTTCATGGAGTGCCACTGCTAGTGAAGAAAAGTCAGCCAGTCAGTAAAGTACACTATGGTTAAAAATTATTTTTGGAAGCAGAAAGTATTGTGAAAACCATTAGATGGATGGATTTAAATTGTCTGGCTCGAAGCAGGAGCTATTTTAACTGGGTGGTCTCAGAAGGCTTCTTTGAGTGGGTGATGTCCAAGCAGAGATGGGAAGAAGTTCACCTCACAAAGAAGTTCATATCACAAAGATATGGAAACAGCAAGCATGAAGACCCATGGTGGAGAGAGGCATAGGACTGGGGAGAAGTTGGGGGGATGGAGGGGTCAGAAACACTGCATCACAGGCCACTGATCCCTCTTTGTATGAAGGTTAAATGAATTAAAACCTGGTATACACTAATTGTTCTTTGTGTGCCAGGCACTGTTCTAGTCCCTATGTCAACCCTCCAAAATCAACACTATTAGCCTATTTTGTAATTAATTAATTAATTAATTAATGGCACTAGGGATTGAACCCAGGGCTTCATACATTCTAGGCAAGTACCCAACCACTGAGCTACACCTCAGTGGCAGTATTGGGGGTGTCCGGTACTTCATCTGCCCAAGTTAGTTCATTTTATAGATAAGGAACTGAGGGCTTGGTTCTATCCCCAGTACCATTAGAAAAAAAAAGAAAACTGAGGTATGGAGGTGAGAGGGACTCACACAATCCTAGTAACCACACTCATGGAGGACTGTCTGCAGCTAAGCATCTTTACTTGTATTAAAAATGTATCCATCAGAACCAGGCAGGTGGTGCACTCCTGTAATTCCAGAGACTAGGAAGGTTAAGGCAGGAGGATCATGAGTTCCTGACTAGGCTCAGCAACTTTGCAAGACCATGTCTCAAAATTTTAAATATAAAATTTTTACTTGAGATGTAGCTCAGTGGTAAAGTGCCCTGGGTTCAATCCCCTCTATATCTATATCTATATTATTATCTATCTATCTATCTATATATTAATTTGGCTAATGTGACTGGGGAAATTAATTTTTAACTTAATTTAAAATAAATTTTGGTGCTGGCAATATGGCTCAAGTGGTAGTATGCTCGCCTGGCATGTGCGGGGCACTGGGTTCAATCCTCAGCACCACGTAAAAATGAAATAAAGATATTGTGTCCACCTAAAACTAAAAAATAAATATTAAGGGCTGGGGTTGTGGCTCAGCGGTAGAGCATTTGCCTAGCATGTGTGAGGCCCTGGGTTTGATCCTCAGCACCATATAAAAATAAATAAATAAAAAAAGATATTGTGTCCAACCACAACTAAAAAGTAAATAAATATTTAAAAATAAATATTAAAAAATAAATTTTCATACTTGGCTAGTGGTTATTTACTGTATTGTACAGGATAATGTTACAAGTAGGTAAGAGTGGTACTCCCATTTTGCAAATAGGGAGGTTGAGGTACAGAGAAGTTAAGTCAGATAGCCAGTAAATGATGATGTTGAAACTGAGATTTGAGCCCAGTTTTCCTGCATACACTCACTCCATCACCATGCTTCCTGTGTGCCAGTGGTCCTCCCTAGGTCCCTTCCCAAGCCATACCTCCCTTGTCTCCTCAGACGGGCACACTGCGGTTCTGCGGGACCACAGAGTTTGCCAGCGGCCAGTGGGTGGGTGTGGAGCTGGATGAACCTGAGGGCAAGAATGATGGCAGTGTTGGGGGTGTCCGGTACTTCATCTGCCCTCCCAAGCAAGGTCAGTCTCATCTGGCGTCCAGGAGGGTGGGGATGGGGGTCCATTTAGTAGTTCTGATGCCAGAGTCTGAGTAATGGTGTGGAAGTTGAGGGCATGGCCAGGGGCAGAGGCTTGGACAACACCAAGCCTAGTCTCTGTCCCCGCAGGTCTTTTTGCCTCTGTGTCCAAGATCTCCAAAGCAGTGGATGCACCCCCCTCGTCTGTCACCTCCACGCCCCGGACTCCCCGGATGGACTTCTCCCGTGTTACTGGCAAAGGCCGAAGGGAACACAAAGGTCAGAGGGGGAACATTAGGGGTAGGAAGAGCCAGTCATGGGGACATTCTGTGGATAGCTCAGTTTGTGTGACTCAGTTTCTCCTCTGGCCCAAACTCTAGTTTTAGAGGATGGGCTCTGAATTCCTGGCTTTTCTAACTCAAATTTTTCCTTTGGCTCAGGAGTGGCCATATCCAGTTCTTTTTTTGTTGTTGTCGTGTTTATTTTATTATTTATATGCAGTGCTGAGAATCAAACCCAGTGCCTCACACATGCTAGGCAAGTACTCTACTACTGAGCCACAACCCCAGCCCCCACCCAATTCTTGAAAGGACTTGTAGGTTCACTGCCTTCTACTTAGTTTCCCCTCAAGCCCAAAGTCTTCCCCAAATTGGGGAAGACTCTTTCTGGGAGTTCTTGTTCCAGGGGTTTATGGCTTTTATGACTTGATTTACTTATTCTCAGACCCAAATCCCCCTTCATTTTACTTCACTATTGATTGATTGATTGATTGATTTTTGAGACAGGGGTCTTGCTACATTTATCAGATTGGTTTTGAATTTCTGCCTCAGCCTCTTGAATGCTGGGGTCTTGACATGGGGTCCCCAAAACTGGCATCTGAGGCCCCATCTTCCCCTTACCATCTCCTCACAGGCAAGAAGAAGAACTACATGTAGACGCTATTGTGTCCAGACTTCGTTTTATTATTTATTTATATACTTAGTGGCACCAGGGATCAAACCTAGGGCCTCACATAAGCTACACAAGTACTCTACCACTGAGCTGCATTCCCAGCCTTTTTAAAATTTTGAGATAGGTTCTCATTAAATTGCCCAGGCTGGCCTTGAATTTGGGAGCCTCCTATCTGAGTAGCTAAGATTACAGGCACGTGCTACCATACCTGGCTAATTTTTTATTTCTTGTGGTCCTGGGGATCGTACCCAGGGCATTCTACCAGTGAGCCACAACCTAGCATTGTAAAAAGGACAGTTTCTAGGCTCACGACTTCTGCCTCAGTTTTCCCTTTGGCCTTTATATCCTCAGTTCTAAGATTTTGGGTTCTCTAGGTTCTGTGGCTCAGTTTCCACTCAAGTCTAAAGACCCCCCCCCCTCCTAGTTCTCTGGCATCTGAGATTCAGTTTCCCTTCAAACCCAAATACCATCCCCTACCCTAATCCTGTGGAAGGCACTAGAGTTCCTGTGATTGGAGCCAGGACAGAATTTTTATCTTGAGATTTTCCAGTTGGCATGGGGGTCCCCAAAACTGGCATCTGAGGCCCCATCTTCCCCTTACCATCTCCTCACAGGCAAGAAGAAGTCCCCATCGTCCCCATCTCTGGGCAGCCTGCAGCAGCGTGAGGGGGCCAAGGCTGAAGTTGGAGACCAAGTCCTTGTGGCAGGCCAGAAGCAGGGGATTGTGCGCTTTTATGGGAAGACAGACTTTGCCCCAGGTGAGGACGGGGATTTGGGGCTGGGGGACAGGCAAGGCTCTGGGGCATCCTGACACCTTCCTGCTACAGGTTACTGGTATGGCATTGAGCTGGACCAGCCCACAGGCAAGCACGATGGCTCTGTCTTTGGTGTCCGGTACTTCACCTGCCCCCCAAGGCATGGAGTCTTTGCACCAGCATCCCGCATTCAGAGGTGAGCCCAAATTCTGACCCCTGACCCAGGGGGCCACCCATAGCCCTAATCCACCCTTGGTTGGTTTCTTCCTCTTGGACTAGCAGGACATTGTAGTTACCACCCACACCCTAGCCCTTTCCTCTGGGCTCACCTTCCAGGGAGATCCTGAATTCTTGTGGCTCTGATTTCTTCCATTCCCTGTGTCTCCCCAGGATTGGTGGATCTACGGATCCCCCTGGGGACAGTGTTGGAGCCAAAAAAGTACATCAAGTGACAAGTGAGTTGGGGGCTGAACATGGGGAGGCATGTGGGTCTGGGAATGGTAGAAGGGTCATGGGTTTTCAGGTGTATGCTTATGACAAGAGTCAGCCCAGGAAAATGTTGAGATGAGGTGCTATAGGGTATGAGGAAGTTAACAACAAGGCTCGGAGGGCTAGGGTTATAACCCTAGGGTTATAACTTGCTTAGCATGTGCAAGGCTATAGGGTATGAGGAAGTTAACAACAAGGCTCGGAGGGCTAGGGTTATAACCCTAGGGTTATAACTTGCTTAGCATGTGCAAGGCCCTGGTTCAATCCCGAGCACCAAAAACAACAACTAAAACCCTCCAAAATCAAAAAACAAGGCTACAGTAGGCATCAGGGATATAGGTTGAGTGGGTTTTGGGAACATGGGTAGGTATTGGGGGACTTGGAAGGTATTATTGACAAGAGGTTCAGATGGGGATTGGGAACATAGAATCCAGGTAAGTCCTGGGGACATGGATAGATATTAATGACAAGGATTCTAGGTGAGTATTGAGAACACAGGTGAGTTTATCATCCTCTCATCCTGCTCTCTTCTCCAGTGACACAGCCCAAACGCACCTTCACGACAGTCCGGACTCCAAAGGACATTGCGTCAGAGAACTCTATCTCCAGGTGTGTGGCCAAGACTGTCCCCTTTCCTGTGGGCTGTTAGGGAGAGGCATTCACAAGGCTGCTGGAATCTAGGGTCTGGGGCTCTAGTTGGGGATTGAAATAGAAGCTAGAAGTTGTGACTAGTAAGCACACCCAGAAACAGTCTTTAGGGTGTAGGGCCCAATACTGACTTTTGCTGACACCTCTTAGGGGGCAGGTTAAGGAAGCAGAACACCCTCCACTGCACATAAGCCTAAGAAGGCAAAGCCAGAAGCAGAATCCCAAAGACTAGGGGGTGATTGAACCAGATGTCCCTGCATCCTGAATCAGTTGACCAGGTTCTTCTCCTTTTAGGTTGCTCTTCTGCTGCTGGTTTCCATGGATGCTGAGGGCAGAGATGCAGTCTTAGAGGCCCTGGATACCTGACAGAGACAAAGAAGTCCCTTCTAGCATCTCCTGACACAAGGAGCCCCCAGTCACCCTGAGATAGAGATTCCCAGTAACACATCCAGAATAGAGACCCCCCATTAGCCAGCCCTCAATCACTGAAGTCCCATTATTAACAGATCCCCATGATAACCTGCCCCCCAAATACAGACCCCATATCACCCAGAAAAAGATTCCCTAAGTAGCACCTTCAGGCTAGTCCCTATCCCAGCCCCTCAGAGCAGAACCCTAATTAACAGATTTCTGCATCACCCCAAATGATGGTTGATCCTTTCCATATAATGTTCCATAATAGGACATTCTGAGTCACTCATCAGTGGATCAGAAACTCCCCCATTAACAAAGACTCTCTCTGATTCTCCTTGTAATAAACATAGGTCACAACTCCAGAGTAATAGACCATGTCACTATCCCCATTTAACATCATTGCCCTCAAGATTCCGTGATCCCATGGTCACCCCGAAGCCCTTCCATTCCATTCCCCCTTTCAAAGACTCTCCATGAACAAAGACCCTTGTTCTCACCCCTCAAGAAAAGACCCACTTTAACTAGCCCACTGTCACCCCCCCAATTTATAGACACCAAAACAGTCCTGGAAGTGCTAATTACAGGACCCCCAAGTCTTCCTACCCTCTGCACCCTCAAGAAACCCCCAGTGCCTTGTATGAAGCCCACCCCACATGGCCTCCAGCCTCTGTGCTGGCCAGGCTCCCAGAAAATTCTCTATTTTTGAAGTAATGACTTCCCCCTTTGGGGGACCCCAAAATTTGGAGACCCCATTCTGAGACTCTGGGGATCCCACACCCCAGAGTATACATGTCCCAAGACCCCCTGTGCCCCCAAGTCCTATAACCCCTAGAAGATCCCAAATTTCTAACTCCCAGGACCCCCAAATCATGGAATCCCCAAATCCCCAGGGAATCCCAAATTTAAAAGTCCAATCGCAAACCCCCAGGAAAACCCAATTATGAGGTCCTTGTACCTGGGATGGAGGAGACTGCAATCGGGAAATGTATTCCAGGCTCTCAGGGTATTTCAAGCCCTGTCCATAGGCACCAGGAGACCCCCAAACATGAATTCCCATCCTGGAAACTGCAGGACTTCAATGCCCTGAGTTCAAGGATCTCAAGAAACCCAAATTCAAGAGCCCCAGCCCTAAGGGACCCCCAAATCCTAAAGCCTCCGTCTATAATACGTGGAGGGCCCCGAGGCCCTGAAGCGATCCCAAGTCTTGGAGCCCCCATTTCAATCTATCTTCTGGTCACAGGTCCAAGACACCAAATCTGATTTACTGGCCACAAAGGACCTCAAAGCACTTGGGCCAGGCCAACAGCCTAAGGGAGAACCTGAAGGCCCCGCGGGTCCAGGGCAGACCTGGGGCCCTGACCACCAAGGACAGCTCACGACTGCCCCGTCTCACTGCATGTCCCCAAACTCAGCATGACCCCTGTCCTCTTCAATAAAGACGTTTCTACGGCCTCTGTGTGTCAGGTCATTGTGGGTTGCGGCCTCTGAACACTTGCTGGGGGAGCGAGGGAGAAGAAGACTTCCCTTCAATCTCGCCTCCCCGCGGCCTGGTTGTAGGATGACCTAGTCTGTAAAAAGTCCACCCAATAGCCCTTATCTCCTTCCCGCGGTCACTACAGCGGGTTCTCCCATCTGGGCCCACGCCGCAGGGCGGACACTTTCGGTTTTGGAATCCTGATTGGCCGGTGTCAGACGAAGACCGGTCTCCAGTGGCTCCCCGAAGGATCAGAGGCCTGGAGGCGCGGCCTATCCCTGAGCGAGGGTGAGGGGGCGGGCGAATACTAAGCGAGAGCGCCAATTGGTTGGAAGGCGGACCCTTTAGGCTTCTGAGAGTTCCCATTGGTCTGAGGTATTTTGCTTCCGCAACGTGGGGCGGAAGTAGTTGGGTGGGGGAGGAGGGTCTTGATTCTGAAAATTGGAGGGGACGCGAGTGGACGGTCAGTGTTGGGGGCTGGGGACAGAGATGGGTGTCCAGGGGGGCCGAGAGTGGGGGTCCGGGGGAGTTCATACTGGGAGTCCTTTAAAGAGTGGGGACAAGGGTTCAGGGAGGGAAGAATGTTTGAGAGGAGTCAGGCTTAGGTCCTAGGGAGCCGCAGTGAACGGGCGCTTTGAAAGGAAAATCTGAGGGGATCCAGAGTGGAAGGGGTTTGAGGAGGCTTAGATTTGTGTCACAAGGACACTCAGAATGGGGGCTCCGAAAGGGCTGAGGTCGAAGAAGCGTCCTCCGCCTCAGAGAGCCGTCACTCATCGTTGCAGGTCTGAAGTGGGGTCTCAAATTAAGGTATTTAAAGAGGCTCTGGGGTGCAGATGGGGTAGGGGGACTCTGTGTGGAACTTAAAGGTTCCCTGTGTGGGGTCAGAGAATGCTCTCTGCGAGAGACCGGAGAGGGCACATGTGTAGTTTGATGGGTCCTTGGAAGAGTGTGCTGGGTGCTGGGGAAGGAGCCTAGGGGGTCACTGTGTGGCATTTGAGATGTCGGGGACTCGGTTTTTAGAGACAGTGAGTTTAACAGGAGGATGAAAATGAGGACTGGATGGTGATGGGGCAGAAGGCTGAATCACAGACTGAGGATAGGAGGCTTAGTAACTGAAGCTTGTCCTCAACTCCCCACAGGACTGGGTGCAAGGAGTTGGTGTCGATGGAGGAGCAGGACGTCAGGGTTCCAGCTCTGGAACCATTCAGGGTGGAACAGGTTGTCAGGACTGGGGATACAGAGGGTAAAGGTGGGGCTAGAAAGTGGGAGGTGGGGTGGGATGGACAGGCTGACTCCTGGGTCCCTGGGTTGGGAGTCCCCCCTCCTTCCAATTTTTTTTACCCTCAAGAGTCCAGTCCCACTCCCAACCCCAACTCATAATGGGCATGAATCCCTCAACTTCAGACCCTGACCTGTCTGAGGACATCCTTAGCTTCCCTCCAGAGAGGGAGGTTACTTAGTGATGGTAGGGCCCTGTGTGGGTTAGAGGGCCACATCTTCAGGGGAATCTTTCCATTGTAGGCACCACCTGTAATCTACTATGTACCTGACTTCATCTCCAAGGAAGAGGAAGAGTATTTGCTTCGACAGGTGACCCCTAATGTCCTTGTAAAACCACCCCCACCACGGTCTTCCTGTATTCCTCTCCAACCCTCAGCTTTGGTATGAGAGCCCCCAAGGCTGCTGTGAAAACACTGGCAGAAAGGAGACCTTCCCCTACCCTCCCTGTGCTTCTCTTGGAAATTGTTAGAGCTGTCAGAGTTGTTTTGTTTTGTTTTTTCCTAGGAGGCTTAGGGGCAACCAAACTAATGGTTAGGAAGGAGCTAGTTATAAACATAGAAGAATTTAGTGTTCAAATTTCTATGCTAAGATAATCCAGGAATCAGGATATAACAGAGTAAGTTCTGCCTTGTGCCAAGGTAGCTCAGCATAGTCTCAAATGCTAGGAACAAGGTTACCAAGTATACACCACCTATGCTGAGATGGCCTAGTTCATATTCTATTCTTCAGGTTTGAGAAAAGTAGAATTTCCAGAACCTAGAGTTCCCACATTGGGATAGCCCTTATTAGCCAGAGTCTTACAGAGCACCAATCTTCCCAGTGTTATGATAGCCCTCTTGAGCTTGAGTCCCAGGAACAAGTTCACCGCAGAACATAAACCCTTGTGCTGAAATAGCCCAAAAGTTTTTGGTTCTTGGGATTGAAAACTTGACATATTTTCAAATCCTTGCACTGAAGTAGCTCAGGTTAGCTTCATAACCATACCAACAATGAGATTATCAACTAGAGTATAGATTTCTTTGACTGAGATAGCCCATTCTAGACCCTGGGGATCTTGGCAATGGAGAATTTTCAAAGTACTTTCCCTGCTGTACTAAGGACTAAGCCCAGCACACTCCCTCTCCCATGCAATAGGAACAAGGGTGCTCCAGAACCCAGAGTATCCCCAGATAGCCTGGAACAGCCTAGGCCAACCTCAGCGTTCTTACTAGACTCAAACTATGATTGTGCAGCCCTGGTTTCTTTCCTTAATTCTGGTGGACACAGATGGACTTTGGGACCAAAGGCCTGCCCTGGCAAGAAGGCCAACAACAAAATCCTGGGAACTTACTACTCCAGAGAAAAATTCCACAGCCACTAAGATGACCCATTTCCACCCCAGGAAAGGGCCACTATGTTGAACTGGGTGAGAGACTTACCGAGGGGTGACTCCAAAAACAGGAGTGACCTTTCTCCACCTCCTAGGTTTTCAATGCCCCAAAGCCAAAGTGGACCCAGCTTTCTGGGAGGAAGCTACAGAACTGGGGTAAGTTTCCCTAGCTAGGGATGTAGGTGATTCTGGGATATGGGGTGGGCAGAGGGTTTAGGTCCAGTAGTCTCAAGATAAGGGGAGCCTTGAGGGCTCAAGGGGTTCTAAGGGCCAGAAGGATTCTGAGGGGGTCAGTGGAGATCCTGAGGGCTTAGGGGCTTCTTGGTGACTTGGGAGTAACTCATGGGGTTTGGGGAACCAGAAAAGTCAGAAAATCTCTGAAGGGCCAGTGGTCTTCAGGGGTCCCTCAGGGGACACCAAGTACCAGGAATCCTTGGTTTGGTGCCCTCAGGACCCCATTGCTCTCCCCAGGTGGGCTCCCCCATCCTAAGGGGATGGTCCCTGAGCGACTGCCCCCGTGGCTCCAGCGCTATGTGGATAAAGTGTCTGATCTCAGCCTTTTTGGGGGTCTCCCTGCTAACCATGTCCTCGTGAACCAGTATCTGCCTGGGGAGGGCATCATGGTAACCACATACCCTCACCCCAGCCCCCACAGTAGTAAACACCTCACCCCAGATCTCTGAGCCATCATAGGGCAGGGCATCATGCTCACCCGCCCTCACATCATGGAGTAGCTGCATATCCAACCTGGCATTCGCATGTCCATCCCAGCTCGGGAGTGCCCCTTTGACCCAGAGGGTGGGAGGGATGGACTTCTGCCCTGCCCAGCCCTGGTGCCCACTCCTCAGCCCCACGAGGATGGACCACTCTACTACCCGACCGTCAGCACCATCAGCCTGGGCTCCCACACCATGCTGGATTTCTATGAACCTCGGCAGCCGGAGGATGATGACCCTATAGAACAGGTGGGTCTGCAACGCTGCCCCAAGCGCTGGGAATGCCCCAACATCCCACCTCCTCCAGGCTGACCCAATTCCATTTGCCCCAGGCTATTCTTGACATCTTCTAGACACTTTGACCTGTTCTTTCATGGGTTACACTGACTTCCTCCCAGACACCCAACCCATCTGTTTGCTGGGTGCCCTGACTGCCATAACACAGACACCCAGTGCCTTTACTGCCGAGTAGATGCCCTGACACCCTACGGTCCCCTGACCCCATACACTCAGTGGCCCAACAGACCTAGGCTCACCTATGCCCCTTGTATGGCTCCCCAGTACTCAATAGACGTTCTTTTTTTTTTTTTTTTTTTTTTGTGGTGCTGGGGATTGAACCCAGGACCTTGCGAGGCAAGCACTCTGCCAACTGAGCCCCTCGAGAGACATTCTAGACATCCTCAGATACCCTAGTGTCATTCACTCATGGGTGTCCCAACATCTTCCCACTTGGCCCCCTCGTCCCACCATCTGAGCACTGCAACACTGATATCCTGCTACTGCAGTAATGTGATCTGCAGTGCAGATGTGCCCAGATTCTCCTAATCCCATGTCACATGACTCTGCTCAGAGACCCCCACAGAAACCCTAACAGCACCCTCTCTGACCTCTTTCACTGAGGGATATACTTGACATCCCAGTGTTCACAGAGACTCCTGGACACCCTAGCCCTTTGCTCCTTGGGGTTTCCCCATTAGCCTTACATGCTCCTGAATATTCTCACATGCCTCCTAATGTCAGTGTCTTCCAACATCCTGATGTCCTCAGATATTTCAGCCCCTTTACACTGCCCACCCCAGGTCCTTGCCTCAACATGCCCTCTCAGCCCAGCTCTGCCCTGGTGTCCTGGGGCCTTCTGAACTCAAGCTCAGCCCCAGCCCCTTGGAGATTCCAGCTGCAACTCCCACAGTCAGCTGACCATTTGAGGTGCCCATCTGCAGCCTACTTCCTGTCAGAGGGATCTGGTGGGACTGCTGACTCCTAGTCCTTTCCCTTCCCATCAGCTGTAACTGTGGAGCCCACAGATTTTCACCAAAGCCTCCATTCCTAGGAGCACTCTTACTCTTCAGCTTTTGCCCCTGGGTACTCACCCTTGTCCCCTGACCCCTGAAACCTGACTGCCCATACCTGACCTCTGATTAGCCTCAAACTACCAACCCATTTCACAGCCCCTGCCGCCACCCCAGCCCACTACCTCACTGTTGCTAGAACCGTGCAGCCTGCTGGTGCTCCGTGGTACTGCATACACACGCCTCCTGCACGGCATCGCAGCCACCCGGGTAGACGTGCTGGACGCTGCCTCACTGCCACGCAATGCGGCTGCCTGCAGATCGGCACTGCCTGGAGCCCACCTGGTGCGCGGCACCCGAGTCTCGCTGACCATCCGCCGTGTACCCCGCGTACTACGCGCTGGTCTCCTGCTCAGCAAGTGACTGCCAGGCTCCAGGTCCCGCCTGATTACAGGGCTTCCTACTTGGCTGTTGGGATGCTGTGACCTTGGTACTCTGGGGCAGAGGTGGCACGCCTGAGTTATTTATTTTCCCAGTAACTGTGGGAACCATGGGAGAAGAACCCATTCCAAATAAACCAAAAATATATTTTCTTGCTTTTAGGTTTTTTTTGGGGGGAGGGGTGGGTAGGGGGCCACAGTACAGATTCTTGTTTTCTTGAGGGGCACTGCATCTGGGACTTTAAGTGGATGGGGTGGGCCCTGGAGGTCAGACTTATGGGTCACTTAGGGGGTCAGAATCCAGGGCTTTTGAGGCTTTCTATCTTGGACCCCCTTGGACTGGGGTGAGGTGATGCTGGGAGGTTTGGCTGCTGGTCCTGCTAGGGAGGAAGGAGTTAAGTGGCTCTGCTTTCACCTCAGCAGGGCATCAAATTACCTGGGTCTTGTTTCTCTAGGAATGGGTGGTGCCAGACCTGCCCCTGGGCCTCTGGCAGCTTCAGGCCTGAGTGAGTCCTGCTGAGGAAGTCTAGGAGACACCATTATTAGGCAAAAGGCTCTTAACAGGTGTCTTCACCTGATTCTTTGTACCCAGGCCCCCAGATATGGCCCTGTCCCTACCTAGGCTCCCCTCAGAGCCTCTCAATCATCCCCCAGGAGCCCCCAGGGAGCCGGACATTGCTGGATGCACCGTCTGTCCTGCATCTGGAGAGGAGATAATCAGGTGGGGGCTGGGGCTTTTAAAACTTGGTTCCGTAAGGGTGGGAGCAACCAACGGCAGGGGCCATTTAGGGCCGGGAGGTGCTATGGCTATGATCATCTGGGGACATGGGAGAGGTAACTGGGATGGGGTTAGGGTGAATAGAAATGAGGTACTGCGGCCCATCAGGGACCTGCAAATACTCCTTACATCCCAGGAGAGAGCAGGCGCAGGACTTCTTGGACCCTCCTGGGCATGTCCAGGGTGGGTTGAGGGGCACTGAGCTCCCAAGAACATCAACGCCCTCTTTCCAGGAGGACCCAGATGGGAACAAACACCATGAGGTGAGCTGAGGTGAAGAGACCCCTTTATGTCAGCCTTCTCTGTCCCCCAGAATCTGACCTCTGTTTTGGAGATGAGGAGATGATTCTGGAAAGGTGTTGGGCATCTGTGGTGGTGGTGTGAGGTGCTGTGGAAAACATTTCTTTACTAATTGTTATAAAAATATTTCAATATTTTACCAATTAGGTGTCTGGATACACCTCCATTTTTCTCAGGGATCAGCTCCCTCCCTGTCCAGACTCCCATGCCCCATATATCCAAGTTTCAAGGAAGCTTAAAAATCTGTAGACCTTGAATTATATGTCCCCATCCTCCAAGTGGAAGGCCCCTCGGGTGGGAACAACCCTGATGTAGCCCCAGGAATGGACTCTGGTGCAGAGAAGCATCCAGAAAGCAGCAGCTTGCAGAAGGGTGGAGGTATTATCTTGATTGGCCCACTGATCCTGGTTCAGCCCCCTGTGTTCCCCAGCACCCTGGCTCTGGCCTGGAGGCACTGGAGGCTGAGCAGGACAGTCTGCACCTCTGCCTGTTGGGGCTGGGTCTCCAGCTGCAGGACCTGGAGCAAGGCCTTGGGCCCTGGACACTGGCCCAGCGCAGGATGGTCCAACTACAGGTGGGCGTTGGGAGGACAGGATGCAGGAGGGTGGGCAGGGCCCCAGGAGTGGGTTCCAGCTTTCTGCAGTGAGAAGTGGGTTTAGTACGTGTTCCAGGTTTCTGGGTAGGAAACAGGAAAGGGGGTGATTCAGGTTCTGGTCTCTGGCCTCCCTGGCATATGTGTGGGGTGATGTCTAACCATGTGTCCAGGCCCTCCAGGCAGATCTGCGAGGGGCAGCTGAGCGTGTGGATGCACTGCTAACATTTGGTGAGGGACTGGCACAGCGCAGTGAGCCCAGGGCTTGGGCATCTCTGGAGCAGATCCTGAGGGCCCTTGGAGCACACCGAGACACCATCTTCCGACGGCTCTGGCAGCTGCAGGCCCAGCTGGCCAGCTACAGCCTGGTACAAACTGCCCTGGTTGTCCTCAGTGCAGGCCCCAGGCCCCAACCCCCGGCCCCCCAACTCCTATGAACTCTGTCCTTTGACTCAGGTGTTCGAGAAGGCCAATATGCCAGACCAGGACTTGGAGGTTGAGGGGGACTTGGATGGGCCAGGACCTGATGGGGCCTCAGGGCCCTGGGCACCCAGTAACCTCCCCACCCCTGCAGAGTTGGAGTGGGACCCAGCAGGGGATGTTGGGGAGCTTGGACCCTCGAAGCAAAAGACAACACAGACACCAGGGCCTCCTTGTGAGCTGTGTGGCCACAGGAGCCTCCAGGGCAGGGGACAAAGTCTTGAGGTGAGAGCAGTCCCTCTTGAGGGCTCCCCAACTCTGCCCAGGCACCCCCAGAGCCCCCTTTGTGTATTGTAGCATGGGCGTTTCCTTTTACTGAGGTCTTATGGCTGTCTGTCCCTCTCCGTCTCTCAGTGTCTCCAGGAGTCCCTTGATCCTACCACCTGTCTCTTTGTCTCCAGGAGTCCCTCTCTCTGTCTCCCTCCTTCCCATCTCTACCTGCATCCTCAATGCTATTTCCTGTCCCTGTGCCCCTCACTTTCTGTGTTACAGCTCTCATCTCAGAGGCCTGGGGTTCACATTCAGTTCACTCCCTGATTTCATTCTAGTCTCTCCTCAAATGTCACCTTGTCAGAGGCCTTCCCTAGCCTCCGACAATAGCACTCCTTATCTTACTACTGTATTTCCTCACAGAACTTCCTGTAGTTTGACATTATATATTTATTTATTTAATTTTTGGCATCTCTGCCTAGAATATAAGCTCCATGGAGGCCAGGACTTTCCCTCTTTCCATCCCCACTGTCCCTGAGTTCCTAGAGTGACATGTAATAGACACTCATCAAATATTTGTTGAGGAAATGAATAAATAATGCCCCTCCCCTCTTGGTTTCTCTGGCTCTTCCCCTCTCTATCTCTCCCTTGAGATTTCTTTGTTCCCCCAGAATCTTATCCCTGTGACACTCCCCTTTCTAGACCCTCCCCTAACCATGTTTTTCTTTGCTGCAATTTTCCACACCTCTCTTTCCTCACAGGATGTGCTCTCATTGGGGTTTAGCCACCAGAAACATTTAATAGGTCACCGAAGACGCTCCCTGCTCCAGAAGCCTCAGGTGAGCTGGTCCTCAGCCAGGTATAGCAATTGAGGACCTTTATGGCAAGTAACGAAAAACTAACCAAAATTGACCAACATAGAAAAAAAGGGGAATGCTCTTTGTTCCTTGTAACTGAAAAGTCCAGGCACTGCTGAATTCAGATCTTAAATTCTATCAGGGCTCAGTCCCATCCCTCTCTTGGGTACTACTTCCCTGAGGTGGCTTTCTCCTCAGTGCTGCTCTGGCTGTTACACACTCATTGCCCACAGCTTTACGCACCCCAGGGAAAGACAATGCTCCTGACCTACTGGCAGCAGCCAAAGTCCCAGGGCTGCCCTGCTTGGGTCATGAGTTATACCCCACCCCATCTAATCAGAATGCTCTGATTGGTCACATCTGGATCACATGACCAATAGTGAAAGTGGAGGAGGTGGGAGTCAGCTACACTTGAGCCTGAAGGTCTATGAAGGGGGAGACATGATCCCCACACCTGCCCCCCGCCAAACTAAGCCAATATTATCAGGAAAAAGAGGATTGGATTGCATAGAGACAGACAGACATCCACCACACTTGGAGACACTCTCGAGTCCATGTGGGGGCCTGGGGGGAAAGAGGAAAGGAAGATAAATAAGACTGGTCTTGCAAGTCTATAGTAGTAAGGGAAAGGCCACATTAAGGGTGACATCTATCCATTCTGCTGCTGGCTGCTGTCCACCTTAGGACAAGAAGAGGCAAACATCTCCTCGTCTTCAGGATGTGATGCTGGAGGTGGATCCTGGGTGAGATGCTTGGAAGACATTGGTCTGGGGATGTGAGAAACTGGGCTCGTGGTGGTAGCCCACCTGTGTATCTAACATTTCCGTTCCCCCCTCAGGGCCTCTGCTCCTGCATCCAGATGGCCCCTGACCTTCCTCCTTATCCTCTTCTTCTTTCTTCTGATGGGTGTCACATTGTTTCTGCCCATTTCAGGGGGCCCCTGCTGCTCTCATGCCCGACAGGCCAAGATGCCCCACCTGATGCTTAGCTATGTCAATGGTCTCCCCCCAATCTGAGTACCCAGCCCAGACATGGGTAATAAATGGTCATTGTCAAAGGATGTGTGAGGCTGTTGGTTGTTTGATTACCCAGAAACTGGGATACAGCCCTGATGTGTCTGGACATCCCCCTCTGTAGACTACTTTGTCTTGAGCACAGAACATGGAACTGAATGAGCCCATCTTGGGCTGGGTTCCCCCAGACCCAGATACAAAGATTCATGCTAAAGTAGCTGACTGGGAGGTGATCCTCGGAAGAGTGGTAGGGGAATGAGGAAGTGAACCAGGAAAGGGAGAAAGCTTATATTGGTTCATGAGCTGGTTGCTGTTCTGGGTTCCTAAGGCACCACATGTTGGGTATTCTTCACTCTTTGGGGCATTTACATCTCAGCTTCCATCTTTCACTGAGATGGACTTTTTCTGGCAACATTGACTCTCCACCACTGCCAGCCTGTCCCTTCTGGGAAGGCCCCTCCCTCAGGCAAAGGAGCACAAATGCTTGCCACAGGAAGCTGGAGGCAGGCAGGAGAAGGGAGCAGGTGTTGTGGGTGAGCTGCCAGAGACAACTGCTGTCAGCCCTGACTATCCACACACGAACTCTGTTCAAACACTCTACACAGGAGGGTAGGGTTGCTCCCCTGCTGGGCCATCACCTGCTTCCAGCGCTCTTCAGCACCAGACAGAATTGCCAGAGTGGTCCTGAAGTCCAGTCTCCTTCAAACTTAAAAGTATGGAGAAAAGAGGTGGGAACAGAATCAGGCTTAAGAACAGGGGCAGGAGCTCTGTGGTGGTCTCCTGGATATTCTCTTAACACAGATCTCCTCTCCTGGAATTCTCACCACTGCCCATTATGTGGGCCTACTGAACAAGGCTCAAAAAGAAGTCACAGGCTAAGGCCACATATGGAGCAAGTGGCTGAAGCCCAATCCTCACTATG